AAAATGAGAAACGGGGCCGCACATGAATAGTGTCGTATCTGTCCGAAACCTATACAAGTGCAATAACTTTATATGCTCCAAGTAAGGGACATTTCCAAGGCAAATTAACACATGAACATTTCCAAACACCTTTATACACGCATAATTACAAATTTACATCTCAAAAGAAATGCTGGATCCAAGTACATGTGTGGACTTCTCAACTATCGAGGAGCTATACAAAAGAATATTCAAAACTAGCTCAACTCAGCTTCAAAACCTCATAGTTTCCCAAAAGGTTACTCCCTGTAAGGAAAACAAAGTAACGAGGGGTGAGCTTACGCTCGTGAGGTACCACCAAGACACACCAATGAACACATTTTATCACATAGTGACCCAAAGCTCATAAACAAAACAAGTCAATATAAAAGGATACAATTGGCTCTCAAAAGCCACTTTCCTCATGCCGCACTTAATCTCCAACCCGTTGACACTCCGTCAACCTTCAAAGCGAAGAACATTCCGTAGACCCCCACTTTACTCCATATCCCTTCCACCGGTCACCCTCTTACTGGGCCCGAACACCTCACAATAACAGAGAGGGTAATACTCGAGTATACCATAAGGTCGAGAAGTCAGCACTCCACTCGACTACAGTGAACCCCAAGGTCCGTTATCGATTCGCCCAAGCCCTGGCCGGCTCGACTCGATTAAAGACCAATGGGGTATGAGCTCAGATAGCACAATTCAGTTGTCGGGCAAAGCCCTCAGCCATGTCAAATCATACATGTAGACAATTTCACCTTTTGACAATAATAGTAATACAGATAAGAGATCGAGAGCGATAACGTACACTCTCGTCTCATTCAAGCCAATCAAATTCACATAACAAGTATAATCAACCATTTAAATAGTAGACCATATAATGGTACACTCACCAAGGTAAGTAAGCAAATTCACAAGTTAGCTTCAGGCGTAGGTGTCGAAGTACCGGTACGACCTATACAACAAAAATAACACAATTAAAACTCGAACACGAGTCAAAGCAAATCCACACACTACCAAAAATAAGGCCCAATGGACTATATAAGTGCATAACCAAGCTAGGGAGGGTCCGGAAATGGAGTTTATGCCCTAGAACCAAAAGACAATTTTGACGTCATTTAGCGGAACGGACACAACTGGAACTAAACTCGCAATTTATGCCGTTTCGAAGCTAAGACAGAAAGTATAATTTTGATGAACACTACTTAGTCCAGTTCTCACCCTAACTAGATCAAATTTACCCAAAACAACTCCAGATTTTCCAGTTCAAACCTTACTGCAGAATTCCACTAGCAGTCCTGATTCATTCACTCATATCTCAGCACACACAACTCCAATTCAGGTAATTCCAAAGCTATTTGAAAGCTAAGATACAAGGCTATAATTATTAAGAAGACACCAACAACCAATTCAGGAATATTCCCGGTCAAACTAACCAATTACATAAGCTGATTATCAGTTTCGGACAGAAACAGGGCAGCAAGGGTATTTCGATCTTTTCATAGGCTACGTTGCTCCGATTGATCTGAAATTTTGTAGGAAATATAAAACATTATTCTCTACAATTTTTATGTTTTACACTAAGGCAAATTCGGCCTCTAACGTGGAGAAACAGTACCGGGCAGAACAGGGTTACTTAAAACCCTAAAATCTGGAATTTTCCTACAAAAGCGGAAATGTTCCGCAATCAACCACCATTAACACATAGAAGCTCTAAATTATTCAATATAAGGCTATCATACCTTAGCTTACTACAATAAACTATATAAAACAGAAAATTTCCCAATAAATAGAAAAATTGAACAATTCCACCATAACCCATGAAATAATCCACTAAATAGCATGCTTCACCACTAGAATCCCTTAATTGAACATTACTATGATGAAAGGGACAATATCTTTACAACTCACCTTTGCAACCTCAAGAAACAAGATAGCTAAGGCTTGTTCTTCCCAAATGGCTCCACCAATCACCTTAAACTCACCTCTCAACTCACTTTTGTGGAGAAATTTGAAAGATTAACGGTCGGTTTCCAAGATTCAAGCAGGAAAGGAAGAGAAATTGAAGAAGTTCTCTCTCTTCTTTGGCTTCAAAGTGCACGGCCAAAAGAAAGAAATGGAGATGATTTTGTGGGTCAAAATTACTTTAGGAAAGGTGATATACTCTAGTCAAAGTCCAACCTCCATTAGGGTTATGACAAGTGGCATTTTTGTGTTTATCTCATTCCTTTGTCTTCCAATACCTAATTACACTAGCTACCCTCTAATTAACTCATAGCACCATGATATAAACCCTGTATATCGAAATCCTACACAGTAATCACATTCACCACACTTAGCGCGCTAGTGGGTCCCACATCCACTGTACACCTCTACTACCACAGAAAATGACTTATTCCAGGAAAATGGTTTAAAAGTCATATTTTCTCATAAAAATCCCCAGAAAATGTACATGTTAAGGAAAACACTAAAATTAAGCCCAAATGCCTAAAATAATTGCCTAGAAAATAAGAAAATGTTCGGGGTCTCACACTCTCTCCCCCTTAAAGAATTTCGTCCTCAAAATTTCTCACCTGCGTCATTAAACAGTCCTGGGTATCTCATTTTCATCTCCTTCTCCATCTCCCAGGTCGCCTCTTCGACCCCGTGGTTCTTCCATAGAATTTTTACCAGTGAAATTTGTTTATTCCTCAGCTCCTTAACTTTTCTATCGAGTACTCGCACAGGTCTCTCCTCGTAGGTAAGGGTTTCGTCAATTTCAATCTCCTCCGGTTGCACAATGTGAGTTGGATCAGGGTAATACTTTTTGAGCATTGACGCATGGAATACATCGTGAATCCGTGACAAGCTTGGCGGCAACTCGAGTTTGTATGCTACTTTCTCAACTCGTTGAAGAATCAGGAAGGGTCCTACGAACCTAGGTTGGAGCTTCTTTCCTCTGCCAGCAGTGACACTCCGCAACGGGGTAATTTTAAGGAAAACATGGTCTCCGACTTCAAATTCCAGATCTTTCCTTCGGTTATCTGCGTAGCTCTTTTGGCGACTTTGAGCTGCCTGGAGTCTCTGACAGATTAACTTGATCTTTTCTTGGGTAACATCCATCCAAGGAATGATAGTAGGGTCTAGGATCTTCTTTTCTCCTGCTTCATCCCAGTATATTGGCGAACGGCACTTTCGCCCATAAAGAGCTTCATACGGTGCCATTTGGATCGACGAATGGTAACTGTTATTGTAGGCAAACTCCACTAACGTCATATGTTGACCGCAACTACCCCCGAAATCTAGAATACAAGTGCGTAACATGTCCTTGAGGGTTTGAATCGTCCGCTCCGATTGTCCATCTGTCTGAGGATGATAAGTGGTGCTTAAATTCATCTTCGTCCCCAAAGTCTCCTGAAACTTTTGCCAAAATCTGGATACGAAACGAGTGTCTCGGTCGGAAACTATACTTACGGGCACCCCATATAATCTCACAATTTCCTCCAAATACACCCGAGCTAACTTATCCATGGAATACTTCATATTCACAGGTAAGAAATGAGCCGACTTGGTCAACCGATCAACGATTACTCAAACGGCATCATGTCCTTTTTGGGTTCTAGGTAGCCCAGAAATGAAGTCCATGGTGATATGCTCCCACTTCCATTTGGGTATCTCCAGAGGCTGAAGTAGTCCCGAAAGTTTTTGATGTTTGGCCTTAACTTGCTAGCATACTAGACAAGTTTGTACATATTGGGTTATCTCTCTCTTCATCTTGTCCCACCAGTACAATTGTCGCAAGTCCTGATACATCTTATTACTACCCGGATAGATTGTATATTTGGATCGATGAGTTTCCTCCAAAATTTTTCTTCTCAGGTTTTCATCATTAGGCACCACTATTCGATTCCGAAATCTCAAAATCCCTTCAGGACATAAATTGAAATCCGAAATTTCTCATTTCTTCACCTTTTCCACCCATTTTTGAATCATCGAATCCTCCGCTTGAGCCTCTTTAATTCAATCCAATAGTGTGGATGTCACACGGATATTTCCAAAAGTTATCTTCTTGTGTTCCAATCTTGGATTCCACTCCCCAACGATTCCCAACAATTCCCACTCCTTCACCATTAACCTAGAAATCTAAGCCTTCCGACTTAGGGCATCAGCTACAACATTAGCCTTACCCGGATGGTAGTTAATAGTACAATCATAATTTTCTAAGAATTCCATCCCCCGGCGAAGTCTCATGTTCAACTCCTTCTGGGAAAAAAGATATTTAAGGCTCTTATGATTGGAATAGACCTCAAAGGTCACCCCGAACAAATAGTGTCTCCACTTTTTCAGAGTAAAGACAACTGCCGCCAGCTCTAAGTTGTGGGTGGGATAGTTTTGTTCATGGATTTTCAGTTTTCTAGAAGCATAGGCTATCACATTCTAGTGTTGCATCAGTACGCATCCCAAACCTTCTCTAGAGGCGTTGGTGTAAACAGTAAAACTGTCCTTAGGGGCCATGGTTAACCTTCGCTTCATCTCTTGAAAGCTGTTGTCACACTTATCACTCCACAGAAACCGACCACCCTTCTTTGTTAAATCAGTTAAGGGACTGGCAAGTTTCGAAAAATCTTTAATAAATCGCCGGTAATAACCTGCCAACCCTAGAAAACTCCAGATTTCAGTAGGATTGCCGAGTCTCTTCCACTCAGTCACTGCCTCTACCTTGGCCGGATCTACTGCAATTCCTTCCTTTGAAATCACGTGCCCCAGGAAAGAAACCTTCTCTAGCCAAAACTCGCACTTACTAAATTTGGCGTACAATCGGTGCTCCCTCAGGGTTTGTAAGACCTCTTTCAAATGTTGCACATTCTCCTCACGGGTTTTTGAATAAACTAAAATGTCATTGATAAAGACAACGACAAATCGGTCCAGATAGGGTTTGAAAATCCGATGCATAAGGTCCATAAAAGTGGCAGGGGCATTGGTTAGCCCAAAAGGCATCACGACGAATTCGTAATGCCCATACCGAGAATTGAAGGCAGTCTTAGGACATCTTCCTTCCTAATCAACAATTGATAGTATCCCTGTCGAAGATCTAACTTAGAAAAGACCATCACACCTTGCAACTGGTCAAATAACTCATTAATGTGGGGCAATGGATACTTATTCTTAATGGTCATGTTGTTCAACCCTTGGTAATCGATACACAGTTTCAAGGTCCCATTCTTCTTCTTAACAAAAAGAACAGGTGCCCCCCAAGGTGATCCGCTCTCATGAATAAAATCTCGCTCTAAAAGGTCTTGCAACTGCAACTTCAACTCTTTGAGTTCAGTAGGTGCCATTCGGTAGGGAGTCTTGGAAATAGGGGAAGCCCCCAGTAATAGGTTAATTTCAAACTCAATCTCTCTTTCCGAAGGTAAATTCACTAACTCATCGGGAAATACGTCTGGATATTCACTCACTACGGAAACATCTTCTATTTTTAGTTTATCGGTAGGAGTGTTAATAAGAAAAGTTAGGAACCCTTGTGCCCCTCTACTCAGTAGTTTTCTAGCCTGAATTCCCGAAATCATAGCAGATAAGGCTACACTGCCCCTCACATCTAATCTCAAAGTTGCCTCCCCAGGGATACGAAATTCTACAATTTTTCTCTTACAATCTAATTGGACATCATATCGAGCCAACCAATCCATGCCCAATATCACATTGTACCCCTTAATGGCCAAACTTATCGAATTCCCCAACAACTTTCTCTCTCCTACCCAAATTTCACAATTTATATATATTTTGCTAGAAATCAAACATTGGTCCCCCGTAGAGGTACTAACTTCCAGCTCATAGGGGAGAGTGACAGGGTGTATATCGATTCCACACATAAACTCAGGGTTAACGAAGGAATGGGTGGCACCAGAGTCTATCAAAATTCTAGTTAGGCGGTGGAAGATAGGGATCGTACCTTCCACCACCTCTGCCGAGTCAGGAACCGGACGTTGCTCGATGGAGTATATTCGAGCAGGCACCTTCGATTTTGCTCCTTCTACCCATGACTGACCTGAGGTAGCCTTCGACGACTGAGTAGTTCCTCTCGCTTCCCGAGACTGGACCGTACAACTGGCGAGCTGGTGCTCCGTACTCCTACAGTGTAAGCACTTGTTCTGCTTCCTCCAACAGTCGTCTTCTGTGTGGTTTAATTTCCCACAGAAGCTACACGGTCCACGAGAAACGATGGCTGAACTCCCTTGCGAGGCGTTTCTCTGCTGGCCTCGTCCCGATTGGCCACCTCGGGATGGAGTCCCTCTTGCCGTCCCCGAGAACCGTCCCCCTTTGGCTCCCCTTCCAAATTTGGGAGGGGTACCTTTATCCCCTTGAGTTGAGCTACTCCCAGAAGCTCCACGTTTTCTATTTTGAAAGTTCCTCACTTGAAGCCTGGCATTCTCAGATCGTAAGGCTTTCTCAACTACATTACTAAAAGTGGTAATTTGGGCCACGGCCAAATCCTTTTGAATTTCTACGTTAAGCCCCTGAAGGAAACATCTTGCCCTCCTTTGTTCGATTAGAATAAGTTCAGGAGCGAATTTGGACAAGCGGGTAAACTGGCTCTCGTATTTAGGCACAGATTGGGTGTCTTGGCGAAGTCGAATGAACTCGTCTTCCTTCTTCTCCTGGACCAATGGCGGAAAGTACTTGGCATTGAACTCCCTTACAAAGTTCACCCACGTTCTTGGTATCTGTTCTCGCTCCCATTTCGTCCGGATAATATTCCACCAAGAGCGAGCGGCCCCTTCTAATTGAAAGACCGCAAAAGTAACTTGCCTCTCCTCCGAGTAATGTAGAGCGGCAAAAATGTCTATCATCTTTTCTAACCACTGTTCGGCCACATCCGGATCGGACCCTCCAAGAAACTTTGGTGGAGAGAATTTTTGAAACCGTTCGAGAGTTCGATCCTCGCTCTCGACGTGATTTCCAGGGTTTCCAGGGTTACCAACTGGTAGAACAGGGTTGGGGCCCTGTTGTTGCACCACCTGGGCTAAGAGATCAGTCATCCACTGGATAGCAGCGGCTACCTAAATATTGGGATCAATTTGGGGTTCAGGATTTGGTTCGGGCATAGCGGTCCCCGTATCCCGTTCAGTCGTGGGCTGTCTACCCCACGTCCCCGGCCTCGGCCACCAAGCGTACCTTCCATTGATCTAAGTCAATCTAAGATCAAGGCACAAAGATAATATTAAAAGTGCATACAAACATAGTCATATAAGCATGAACAAGAACTAAAATAAACATCACATAAGGCATGTATACACATAGAGCAGTTATACATAGAACACATAACTGTGTCAAACAGTCATACATGAGCAGTCAAACAAATATATACAAAAGTACTCCCATGAAGCCAAAAGAGGGTCTTCCAAAGTACACTATACAAAATAGGTCCCAAAAGTACCACACAATAAACCAAAAGCTTTTCCTAGGCATCCTTCACATGGGATCAAAACATAGTCCAAAGAACTCTAGCCTAGTTCTCAACTGAGCCAACCGACTCCTCCCCAGAGCTAGAGCTAGGGGCGCCTCCTTCTCCTGGAGCTTCGTCACCTGGAACTCCCCTGGCACATTGGTGCCAATCACTCCCTGGATTAGCGCCTCACACTCGTTTATAATACCACTGGACTGGTCTCTCACCTCTCGGACTACTCTAGTGAGACGGTCGTTAACCACCTGCAACTGCTCTCTCAGAATGTTCGTTCGCTCATGCTCCATGGCCACGTCCCCCTGGAGCTCTCCAATCCGATCAGCCTGCATCCTCATGATGCCCCTAAGCCTAAGATTCTCAGTTTGCTCCCTGGCGGTGGCACATCTAAGCCTCCTTCGTTCAGCAAGTACCTCCATGACCATGTGGTCCGCGTAAGAGTAATACTGGCAACGCCTACAGCGGCGGGTCCGGCTAGCAGTATACCACTGCTGAATCGGACCTCCCGGTCTCTCCTGGTAATCGATGACTCATGGGCGCCTCTGAGGTGGCTCATCTCCGCCTGCTCCACTAGTTCCAGCCATAACCTACAAAGATAGCAAAAGTTTATGTCTTAGACAATATATTCACACTTAATGGTGTCCAAACACAATCCCCAAAGGTTCTAAGAATCAGGTTTCAAGTTCGCCCAGGTTATTTCTAACCTAGGCTCGGATACCACCTGTGACAGCCCGCCTTCCCCTAAGGCGTACCAAAGGGGTTAGCGGACTACCTGCCCATCTCTCGCCAGGACTACTAACACGGTTGTATACAAACTAAAATGTTTCAAAATATTTTAGCGCACTCAAAAGAATCAAAGTCACGAAATGAAAATGAGAAAACGGGGCCGCACATGAATAGTGCTGTATCTATCCGAAACCTATACAAGTGCAATAACTTTATATACTCCAAGTAAGGGACATTTCCAAGGCAAATTAACACATGAACATTTCCAAACACCTTTATACACGCATAATTACAAATTACATCTCAAAAGAAATGCTGGATCCAAGTACATGTGTGGACTTCTCAACTATCGAGGAGCTATACAAAAGAATATTCAAAACTAGCTCAACTCAGCTTCAAAACCTCATAGTTTCCCAAAAGGTTACTCCCTGTAAGGAAAACAAAGTAATGAGGGGTGAGCTTACGCTCGTGAGGTACCACCAAGACACACCAATGAACACATTTTATCACATAGTGACCCAAAGTTCATAAACAAAACAAGTCAATATAAAAGGATACAATTGGCTCTCAAGAGCCACTTTCCACATACCGCACTTGATCTCCAACCCGTTGACACTCCGTCAACCTTCAAAGCGAAGAACATTCCATAGACCCCTACTTTACTCCATATCCCTTCCACCGGTCACCCCCTTATTGGGCCCAGACACCTCACAGTAACAGAGAGGGTAATACTCGAGTATACCATAAGGTCGAGAAGTTAGCACTCCACTCGACTACAGTGAACCCCAAGGTCCGTTATCGATTCGCCCAAGCCCTGGCCGGCTCGACTCGATTAAAGACCAATGGGGTATGAGCTCAGATAGCACAATTCAGTTGTCGGGCAAAGCCCTCAGCCATGTCAAATCATACATGTAGACAATTTCACCTTTTGACAGTAATAGTAATACAGATAAGAGATTAAGAGCGATAACGTACACTCTCGTCTCATTCAAGCCATTCAAGTTCACATAACAAGTATAATCAACCATTTAAATAGTAGACCATATAATGGTACACTCACCAAGGTAAGTAAGCAAATTCACAAGTTAGCTTCAGGCGTAGGTGTCGAAGTACCGGTAGACCTATACAACAAAAATAACACAATTAAAACACGAACACGAGTCAAAGCAAATCCACACACTACCAAAAATAAGGCCCAATGGACTATATAAGTGCATAACCAAGCTAGGGAGGGTCCGGAAATGGAGTTTATGTCCTAGAACCAAAAGACAGTTTTGACGTCATTTAGCGGAACGGACACAACTGGAACCACACTCACATTTTATGCCGTTTCGAAGCTAAGACAGAAAGTATAATTTTGATGAAGACTACTTAGTCCAGTTCTCACCCTAACTAGATCAAATTTACCCAAAACAACTCCAGATTTTCCAGTTCAAAGCTTATTGCAGAATTCCACTAGCAGTCCTGATTCATTCACTCATATCTCAGCACACACAACTCCAATTCAGGTTCCAAAGCCATTGGAAAGCTAATATACAAGGCTATAATTCTTAAAAAGACACCAACAACCAATTCAGGAATATTCCTGGTCAAACTAACCAATTACATAAGCTGATTATCAGTTTCGGACAGAAACAGGGCAGCAGGGGTATTTCGGTCTTTTCATAGGCTACGTTGTTCTGATTGATCTGAAATTTTGTAGGAAACTATAAAACATTATTCTCTACAATTTTTATGTTTTACACTAAGGCAAATTCGGCCTCTAACGTGGAGAAACAGTACCGGGCAGAACAGGGTTACTTAAAACCCTAAAATCTGGAATTTTCCTACAAAAGCGGAAATGTTCCGCAATCAACCACCATTAACACATAGAAACTCTAAATTATTCAATATAAGGCTATCATACCTTAGCTTACTACAATAAACTATATAAAACAGAAAATTTCCCAATAAATAGAAAAATTGAACAATTCCACCATAACCCATGAAATAATCCACTAAATAGCATGCTTCACTACTAGAATCCCTTAATTGAACATTACTATGATGAAAAGGACAATATCTTTACAACTCACCTTTGCAACCTCAAGAAACAAGATAGCTAAGGCTTGTTCTTCCCAAATGGCTCCACCAATCACCTTAAACTCACCTCTCAACTCACTTTTGTGGAGAAATTTGAAAGATTAACGGTTGGTTTCCAAGATTCAAGCAGGAAAGGAAGAGAAATTGAAGAAGTTCTCTCTCTTCTTTGGCTTCAAAGTGCACGGCCAAAAGAAAGAAAATGGAGATGATTTTGTGGGTCAAAATTACTTTAGGAAAGGTGATATACTCTAGTCAAAGTCCAACCTCCATTAGGGTTATGACAAGTGGCATTTTTGTGTTTATCTCATTCCTTTGTCTTCCAATACCTAATTACAGTAGCTACCCTCTAATTAACTCATAGCACCATGATATAAACCCTGTATATCGAAATCCTACACAGTAATCACATTCACCACACTTAGCGCGCTAGTGGGTCCCACATCCACTATACACTTCCACTACCACAAAAAATGACTTATTCCAGGAAAATGGTTTAAAAGTCATATTTTCTCATAAAAATCCCCAGAAAATGTACATATTAAGGAAAACACTAAAATTAAGCCCAAATGCCTAAAATAATTGCCTAGAAAATAAGAAAATGTTCGGGGTCTCACAAACTGGGTGTCAATGTCTTCATAGAGAATGTAGGTCTATGTCTTAGCTTCGAAACGCCATAAAATATATCTCAATCTGATAAGTGTAGCTTCAGTTGTGACTAAAATGCCAAAAGGTGAGTGGAACTTGATGATTTTAGAATTTCCTTTACTTGACGTGATATTCATGATCAAGGTCTTGGACTTGAGCAAGGAAACTACCTATGATGGATGAGGAGCTTGATTGTGATTGGTTTTTGGAGCTTTTATTTGGTGATATATGAAGGGCTTTGGGGTTATTCATGTTTTAGAATCAACCGTTACTTTTTCACCTCGAAGCCACATGTTTGTATCTTTGCATTCGTAGTTCATTCGGATAGGCTTACGACTCGTAGTCGAACCTCAATTGTACGTTCCGTTTACTGGGTTTGTGGATGTGGGAACCATAAATTGTTTATCTTGGTTATTTTAGGGTTTCTCGGTGATCGAAGCCCTACTTTGGTTAAAAACTTTTGAAGTTATATTCGCTTGAACTGGTGAGTGTACCACTCCTCTGATTTATTGATTAACTGGTTTGCTTGTACTTGAAATTTGTGACTTGATTGACTGTGAACTTTGTTTATTCTGAATAAGACGAGCGTGTACTTTATCACACTCATTCTCTTGCCTGAGTGACTGTTTACTATATAAACTGGAATCTATTACTGTGCCTGATCTGATGTCGTTTGGAGGTGTATCTAATGACCTTCTTGTTAAACCTGAGCTCAACCTCATGGGGAGTCAATTGAATCGAGCCAGCAAGGGCTTGATCGAGGAAAATTGACAAACCATAGGGACTGTTTCTGGGGAATCTTTGGGTAGTGGAGACTTTGAATTTCCGGTATACTCGAGTATTACCATCCACTATTACTGTTGAGGTGTTTGGGCCCGGCAAGGGGTATGTTTGGTAGACGGAATTCGGCGAAAAGTGGTGCTCTACTGGATTGGTTACTATACTTGAAAGTTAATAGAGTGTCAACTACTAATTGATCAATCTCTAGTGAAGAAAACGAAATTTGGCTCTTGAGAGGTATCTTTTCTATATAAAGTGTGTATTCATTTCTTTAGTTAGTGTGTAAATTTTCCTGATTAAAACTGAAGTTCCATGATTCTTGACTGCTTGTACTTGTGGTACCTC